TGTAACTTGTAGAAATCAAAATTTAACTTGTATGTTTGCGTAGTGATATATAACATAGTAATTTATCTTGTTGAATGTTTTTAATATTTTTTCATAATTATTTAAATGACATGTAAAAAACTCGAGAGTTTATAATTCATTTCCCTTTTACGTTTGAATTGAGGCAGGAAAACGTTTTCAGAAGGGTAAATGGGTAGGAAAAAGTACGAATTACCCCCTAAACTATCGCGGTCGTCCGAATTACCCCCTGAACCACAAAACTGGAGATTCTTCACCCCTAACTATGCAAACCGGCCGAATTACCCCCCTCAACCCAATCTGCGGTGGTTTTGGTCTACATGGCGTACGCGTGGCAGTCCAGTCAGCAATTTATTTATTAAAAAAATGTGGGACCCACTTGTCATACTCCTATTGCACATTTTCTCTCTCTCTTCTCTCACTCTGTCTCACGCGCACAGCGGCAGGCGGGGGTGGCGAGCGGTGGCGGCGGCGGCAAGGCGAGGCGGCGGCAGCAGCGGGAGCTCGCGCTGCTCGAGCAAGGCGAGGCGACGGCGGTGGAGGAGGAGGCGAGCGACGGCAGGGTGCGGCTGAGGAGACGAGCGGCGACGGGGTGCGGCGGAGGAGGCGAGCGGCGGGGAGGACGGTGGTGAGCGTCGGGGATGAGGCGGCGAGCGGTGGCGGGGTGCGGCGAAGGAGGGGGAGGGGGAGGGGGAGCTTGCGCTGCTCGAGCGAAGCGAGGCGGCGGCAGGCGTCCTCCAGCGCGCGCTCCGCCGCCGCGGCCTCCTCGCGCGCCTGTTCCCGCGCCGCGTCCGTGGCGGCCTTCTCCTCCAGCGCGCGCCTCACCTCTTCCCGCTGCTCCTCCTCCTCCCCTCCTGCTGCCGCGGCCGCGGCGCCGCCGTCGGACGCTACGACGACGACGACGGCGGTGGGGCCGATGGAGAGCTGCAGCTTCGTCGTCGTCATCGTCATCGCGTGTTGCTCGTGGGAGGAGGAGCTGGTGGTCGTGGTGGTCGTGGAGTTGGACGAGAACGCGGCGGCCAACGACGCCGTGGTGGATGCCGGGAGGAGCTGCAGCTCAGGCGGCGGCGGCGGCGGCGGATAATGATGATGATGCCGCAGCGTCACGGGACGGATGACCGGCAGAATCGTCACCACGGGCACGACCTCGCCGCGCACCCGTCCAGAGTTACACGCATCCTGGTGCTCTATGAAGCTCTCCACCCTGCAACCACACGCACACAACCACCCCCAAACCAAACCACCGCCATTAGCGCACACTAACCATACCACTTAACCACCATCTCATCACCAAACACAACAAAAACATGGCGATTGATCCGATCGACTGATCGATCATCTGTACATGTAGATCGATCGAACACGACACACACTGACCGATCGATGAGAGCATGAGACAACCAGATGAAACCCATGGGACAACCTCGCCTCGTCCCCTCTCCGCCGCCTCGCCTCCGCCGCCGCCTCGCCTCGCCGCCGCCGCCGCACCCCACCGCCGCTCGCCGCCCCCCGCCTGCCGCTGTGCGCGTGAGACGGAGAGTGAGAGAAGAGAGAGAGGGGAAGAGTGAGAGAGAGAAGAGAGAGAAAGGAGAAAAGTGCAATAGGTGTATGACAGATGGGGCCCACCTATTTTTTAATAAATAAATTGCTGACTGGACTGTCACGCGTACGCCATGTAGACCAAAACCACCGTTAATTGGGTCGAGGAGAGTAATTCGTCCGGTTTACATAGTTGGGGGTGAAGAATGTCCGGTTTTATGGTTCATGGGGGTAATTCGGACGACTGCGATAGTTCGAGGGTAATTCGTACTTTTTTTCAAATGGGTAATGGAAAAAATCCAAAATGAACGTATAATAGTTTTTTCGTAGGCACCAGCGCACCAGGTCCTTGGTCCTTCCAAATTTCTCAGGCAAGCTGAAGCGAGGTGCAGGTCGCCAGGTCCTAGACTTCCTAGACTTTAGTCTAGCCAGTTTGTCTGGGCAGTAGCGACAACCAATCTAAAGAAGTGCAACGCCAGTGTACGAACAAGCCACCTACTCCTACCTCCCAATCCCAATCCAGCAGACGTCTTCCAAGCAAAAAATATTGCCCATTCCATTCATAAAAGGGAGAGACGGGTAAGGGCAGCCACAATACGAATATAAGGGCCCCTTTGAATCGCAGAATTGAGAAAACGTAGGAATAGGAAAAACGTAGGATTTTGATAGGAATGTAAGTGTAAAACAAAGGATTGCAAAACACAGGAAAAATACAGGAATGACCGTTTGATTGAACCACAGAAAAAACACAGGAATTGGATGAGAGAGATAGACTCAAAGGAAAGTTAGCAAGAGGTTGAAGCTCTTGCTAAATTTCCTCCAAAATCTCTATAGGATTGTCCATTCCATAGGAATTTCAAAGGATTGGATAGGATTCAATCCTTTGTTTCAAAGGGCTTCATAGAAAATTTTCCTATAGGATTGAAAACCTCTAAAATTCCTATGTTTTTCCTCCAAATCAAAGGGGCCCTAAGGGTGGGACTTAAGGAGCTGTTTGGGATGTCCCTCCCATTCAAATACCACCAAAGCCTCTAAAGTGAACCTTATACATTGTGAGAGTAGTTCTTAGAGCATCCCTAGTAGCTCATCCATATTTGACCTCCAAATGCCTATATGGATGGTCATTCAAAAAAAATTCCCACTCTAACAGATCATCTATATTACATCATCCATATCCCACCCTCCTATACTAAAATATATTTTAAACTATTAAATTTTAATTGTGTTATTAATCGCAATAATATTTTGAAATGAGTAAATTTTAACGGATATATTTTTAATGGATAATTTTTTAATTGATGTATTTGAATTGAGTGAAGCTTTTTTTTTTGATAAATTCGTAGCAACATCAATAGAATGAATATAAAAGCACAGCAAAAATCTAATCGCTACATGAGTGGACTTTTTAATCCACAGGAGCTAGCTAGCGAACGGACTTATCCTCTCGCTTAAAAAAAAAAAAGAAAAACGCGAGTGGACTGGAGATGGAGAGGCGATGGCGATGTGGGCGAGCTAGCGAGCAAGGCGGTGCGGGCGGCGCCAAGCGGAGGAGCAGCGGCACGGGCTGCTGGGCAGCGCGACGGAGGCGGCGGCCGCTCGGGCTGCTGGGCGGCGCAACGGGGCAGGGCGGCGCCGAGCGGAGGAGCAGCGGCATGGGCTGCTAGTACTACTACTACTACTTCTTTGCAGGGGCGGCGGTGGCTGTGCGGCCGGGAAGGCGAGGGGCGGCGGCGGCCGGGCGGGTGAGGGGCTCGGCGGCGGCCAGGCGGGCGAGGGGCGCCGCGGCGGCCGGGCGGACGAGGGGCGGCGGCGGACGACCGGCGAGGGGCGGCGGCGGCGGACCACCGGTGCGTCCTCTCTTCCCTCTACCTTCACCCTTGATGCTCGATCCGGATGGGGGCGGGAGAAGCGGATGGGAGTGGCAGTTACGGGATGGCGTGAGGAGAGAGAACCGGATGGGGGCGGGAGAAGCGGATGGAACCGCAGCCAGTAGATGCTCCCAAAACTAGTCCAAAATGCAGATCCAGTTTTTCTCAAACGGTTCGTGAACGGTGAATCATCGGAGGACGTGGTCCGGCTGACTGTCCGAGCTCCTGCTGGCTGCTGCAATCCTGCACTGCAGGTTGTGCTCTGAGCCTCCGATACGATATGTGGTACAGTAGTGTACTGTACCACTATGCGCCCGTAGTCGGTACTGCCCTCGTAGTACTCCAGAACGCTTGTCGCCGGGGTGCTCATCACCTGTATAGCGTCCAAACTCGCAGCCCTCCCTCTGCCGCTTTCCTCTCCTGCGTGAGGGTGACAACACGGGCATGGATTACGATGCGACACCTGGGTCGACCTGGCAGGAATCTCTCGAGTGCGGACAGCGGCGGCCGAGCAAAGCAGCGGCAACGCGGCGTGACGCGACCGAATCGTGCCCAGCTACAGCACCGCGCATCATGCCACTGCCGCTCCGGTCGCCCTAATGGAAGCACTTTAGGTCCGCCTCAGTCCTCAGTTCAAGTACTTCAGGCCTCACTTCAGGACAGGTACCATCCGGAGGAATTCTTGCCGATTCACAAATCGAATTATTTGTTCTTCGATTTTTACTTATTTTTGTAAGAATATACTTACCTTGTAAGAGCTCAATGAAATTCTCTGCAAACTAATTCGAGTTGAAGTGCGTGGTTCCTTCTTCTTCTTTTTTCTTTTTTTTGAAAACGACACTTGATCACAGGAGACTGCAACGTCATCTAAAACTCCTCGTTGGTTCTAGCAGTAGGACTAGAGTGCATCTCAACGATCGACCATCATAACGAGTTCCACGTAGCTATTCGTACATACGCTAGACCTAATAATACTGCCCACGAGTTCACCTACCCTGTTCAATCGAGAGCCAGAGCATTCACCGAAAACAAATCATGGTAAGAGCAAAACCTTATGATGAACAGGCCCCCAAGATGTCACCTCAGGGAATTTGAAGGAGGGGCCTGGAGGAGGAGGAGGAGGCAGCAACATGCCAATGGCGACGGCAAGCTGCTGCTGCCATCCATCGGCATGCCCAAGAAAGGCGACCAGTCTAGTGGCCCTGGCGCTCATTCCTCGTTGCCCCCACAATCTGCTAAAGCGAAGGTGGGAAAGCAATCAAAGGAAGCCAAAGCGATGTGATGTCGCTGGCCGGGCCTTCTCCCTGCTGCGACGGTTGCTTTGATCCAATGCAACGTCCAAAAGCAAAAGCACGGAAGAAAACAGTGAGTGAGAGAGAGAACAGGCAGGAAGGCAGGCTGCGGCTGCATACCGAGACGTTATTCCAAGCTCGCATTGAACTGCTCCAAAGAGATCCCAAAGCACTCGCCTTTCTCGCGCCCCAATGCGTTCAAAGATCTCCGCGAGAAAAAAAAAACAGAATGAAAAGATGGGCAACACCATCATAGCAATGCCTAGCTTGCCAATACGAAAAGGAATTTGTGCAATTCAAATCCGGGTCCTCTTACCTCCTCCATCATAAAAGGACCACCCCTGCCTCTGAGCTCAAGGAGACACTTCCATTCCATCACACAAGCCATTTCCTAGTCAAGAAGAGGCAGAGAAGAGTGAAGAGCAGTGAGCAGTAGCTTTGCAACAAGAGCTAAAAACCAGCAGAAGAGTGACACAAGAGAAGTGGAAGATGGCGTCTTTACCTCAGCCCATGGGTTACTACCCAACCTCCAACTCCATCATGCACGCGCAGCCGGCCACCACGTCCAGGGGCTCGTTCGGCCCGGTGTTCACCGTGCTCGCCGTGATCACCTTCCTCGCCGTCGCCGCCTGCGTCGTCGGCCGGCTCTGCGGCCGGCGGCTCTCCAAGAAGAGGGCGGCCTCCGCCGAGGACCAGTTCTACGGCATCAATGCCGTCGGCGGCGACCTGGAGAAGGGGTTCGAGATCAAGTACCCGGTGATGAAGCCGATGGCGAGCTCCCGCGCCATGATCCACGACATCGACGACGGCTTCGAGATCAAGTTCACCCCAGGGAAACCTGCAGCATGGAAGAACGACAGCAAGGGAGACGGCAAAGGGCATCAGCAGCAACATCAACAACACCAACACCAACACCATCCACAGCAGCATGGCATGCCCCAACACCATCCGCAGCACGGCATGCCCATGCCCCCAGGTTTCAGGTACCCTGCAAATGTGGTCAGGCAAGGGCAGATAAGAGGTGGAACATTCATTTCTGCGAAGCCCAGTACGTGATTCATCATCAAGGTAGCTTAGGTTCATAACAAACTTGGATGTATCTCATATAGGATACAACCTCTTGTCGCAATAGTGTTCTTCATCTTCACTCTAGTTTTGGGGTGGACTGGGCAAAGATTTGTACTAGTTCCAAGCACTACTACCATATTGTATTTTGTACATTAAACCCATTGAGCAGTGAAGAATATCTCATTCTCAAGTATGACATTGAAGGGATCAATCATCAACAGGGTCCTGCGGTGCTTCATCGGCCTTCCGTTTGATGGTGATGACTGGACAGTCGGCATGCTTAACACAGAACTCGCTCACTGTGCCCACGAAAACCCTGCAACGCGATTAACAGCACCAGTCATTAGTACAAGTAAAACAGGACTAACCATGGCGCAATTCAAGACAACACGTTACAGAATATCAATGAGCAATATACATTTTTCGATATGCAGGTGTACGTTGTTCTCATTCACATATAAGTTTCTGTAGTAATTCTTCTACCAAAAAAAAAAACAGAAGTACAATGTACTTGTTAAAAAAATGATCTAACAATTCTTCGTAGATTAAACAGAAAATCATGAAGATGCAAACAAATAGCTTGTGTGATAGTAGAAGTCTATATAAGTAGATATTTTTCTTCCAATTCAGTCTCATATAGCATTGCATAGATAAAATGTACTACAATACTACATCCCATTCATTTCCTGAATTGGGAAAAAAGCAACAACTTGGTAAGATTTTATTCAAACTACATGATTTATATTGGTCACAGAAAATTATCATGTTCTCTATGAATTACAGGATTAGTTCTGCACAGATAACTGCTCCAGCTGTCCTAAAATTTAGCTATTTCATAGTACAACTGTACAAGACTACAACACAAGCTGGAGATATTATTAGTTCTACCCGTATAGGCCACTGAATCATAAAGTCTTTCTATTAGAAGTGCGACATTCTAAAGAAAATATCAAATGAGTGTTTATCATTAGGGTTACTCCATAGGCTTTTTTCCACAGTAGGCACGCTCTACTGCTGCTTGATTTACAAGGCAACATCTTGTCTAGAGCGCACGAATACCAAAGTCTTTTTTTCATAATTACAAAGGCACAAGCACACACGCATGCTCACAAAAATAAAAATAAGTATGCACGCTGCATGCACAATCAACTTGCAAACTTGAGAAACTGACTTTTGGGACGATATCAGAACCACTATGACCAAAAGGAGAAATGACAGCGCCATACATAGTACAGTAGTTCGCTAAATCTGTTGTGTTTCGGTTCTGGTTGATTAGTCTAGATGTTTAACATTTGGACTGGTTTAGGTTCCTTGTAAACTACTTTCATCTTAATGCAATGATCTGCAAATCTTTTGTGTATTCTTGAAAACGGGGGTGTTTGAAACAAAAGGATTTTTTGGATGAATTTTGAAGGTATTAGAAACATTTTGATTTGGCACTCCGGTATAAAAGGGTGAGCTCCTATAAATCCATTAGATTTCTTATGGATTGGCTTAAAAACAAAAGGCCAATCTATCATGAGGTTGGCCCTCATGATCCTTTTCCTTTGTATCTTTCACCCCAAAATTGTGTATTTTTTTCTAGTGAGGCATAAACAAGTAAACAACCTATGAGTTTCATATGTTTTTCCCCAATATTTTCATTTTTTTTCTTCACCCGTTCCATATGGGCCTATGCTTCCACTACATGCTGCATGGGAGTAGCAAAAAAAAAAAACTTTTAAGTTTGTTTGGTCCATTCAGTTCTCAAAATGATAAAGTCAGCAGAAAGCTAATTATACTCATGCTGATGATTATAGCTTTAGGAATAGCAGGTTTATATCATAAAAAGGAAGTCGAGATAAAGACGTAATGTTTGGACATATCCATTTTGTAGTTGGGAATACATGCCAACCTGGCAAGTATGTTATATCTGGTACAGAATTAAATTGCAACCCAGCTTATCAGAACGAGACAGTGTAAATAGTTCACAAAGTTAATCTAGTACGTGTCATACTTGATTTATCTCCACTAATCATGTTACAGCCAGCTCCAAAGAACCAGTGTTATTGTGCTTAAGGTATTTTTATAAATCCTTTAGGTAACCAACATGGATTTCAACAGAAATTTGAGTTCGGAAAATTGTTGCTTGTCTTTTTTCCTAGCATAGTAACACAATAGCTGTTTAAGATGTCACAAGTTCAATATGGAAGGGGCAAGATATTGTACATATGAAGTGTAAATCTTATCCAAAAAAAAAAAAAAAAAACAAGCAAGATGCTATGACACGACTAACAGTAGGTACGCCTTCAGAGTACAATACCATTTCCCTCACATAATGGACAGAAAATGAAATAGAAAAAAGACTGTATCCTAACAACCATCACTTGTTAGAAATATCAAACAGCATGAAATCAATTGTTCAAACACCCCCAGTCATCCTGTATTACTTGCTCAATTCAGCACAATTTTTAGAAATAAACACATAGTATTATATCTTAGTTTGGACAATGCACACCTAGTGATGGATCATCTTATCAAAGTACTCCCTTCAATTCCAAGTATAAGCTGTTTTAGCCTTTCTAACTCTTTCCCGATTCCTAAATATAAGTCAACTTTAGAACTTCTATGCAACTTTACCACTTAACTTCCATGTTTGCCCTACCAAATTAACGGTATCATCCTCACAAATAAATGTCTCATCATTTCCAACTTAGTATAGATGAAGGGTAACAAAGTCATGTGAGTTTCTTGTGCACAAGTCTAAAACGATTTATATTTGAAACTGGAGGTCGTATGTGCGCAACCATCATAACACACAATGAAGAATACTTATATGTGCATAACTTTTAAAATAAAATGCTGACAAGTTCAATCACAGTCATTTTGACATAAATTACCTCTGAAATGGTCCAAGGCCCCTACTTCCCACAACTAGAAGATCTGGTTGAACTCTCTTCACCTCGCTGCAGATGACTTCCTTTGGATCCCCTTGTTTAATCCATGCTTCACATTTTATCTGCAAATAATTAGACAAACGCCAGAACATTAAACAAAAAAGATCAGTACTATTGGCTATTGGAGTCTGCAATAGTCAAGAAAACACACTTAATTTTCTGTGTGCTGACCAATTTCAATTAACCATCCTCAGGAAAAGGACTGAAAAGAAATATGGAGGTTTGATTACCTCCAGTTGATGGCATTGATTCACAAAGTGCTCGAGCAAGTGAAGCCCTCTTATCTTGTCTCTCTGTTTCATTCTCTGAAAGTCTGGTGGAGATGCATAGATGCTATCCATATCATCAAATCCTTTTGATTAAACAAAAAAAAGGGTGATTAGATAGAAAAAATAATTATCCAAAAATACAACTGTTTAAGTGGGCACATTGCATGGGAACTAAAGTCACTCAATGATAAGGGCTAAACACCAACATCAACTGAGCCAAAAGCATGACAAAACATCTAAAGGCAGGAATGCAGGACTTCTGTAGATTTGTTTACTTCAATAGACTTTGTAAAAATAAGAGATAATTGTATTATGGTTTGTAATATAAAATACAGCACATACTGATGAAGTTTGTGGGTAGATCTTTTATAGACAAAGAAACTATCTCACTCCAGCAAAGAAACAAAAAAATAGGTAAGATAATACAAAAAGGAAGATTTTAAGATAAGTGCTGCCTAAGCTTTGGACACCCTGTACTGAAATTCAGGTATCAGCTTAAGTGTATCGTGGTCCAAAAAACATGAGAAAGCAGTATTCAGGTCAAATTCATTTGGAGCAATGAAACTGTGTCATCTGAATGGAAATAAAAGGAAGCAGAAAAACAAAATTGACAAGTTTCTATACAAGGCACTGGGCCATCAACCTCAAAACTGGATAATAGAATAACTTGGGAAATAGGTCATAGAGAGTTTGATCTTCCCACAGCAGAAGCATTTCCTTGAACACCAGAAATGAATAAGTAGTAGTGTAGTACTAGACAGTGGCTCAAAAGAGAAAACAACAGATTTAGCTGGCAAACTTAAAGAAAACCAAGTGAGTCAGAAATATACTATTTGTGGCAAGTGGATGATCTAAAGGATTCAAAAACGATATTGACTTCAAATTCTGTGATTTATCAGAGCTCTATTCCATCAAAGTATGGAAGATATGCATAGGCAAAATCACATCAACACAATAGGATCGATGACTGATGATGGGAACTATATGTGTAACATTATTAAGCATTCTCCTAGTAGAGCAGTAATAATACAAATTAAGTCGAAGAAGCATAAGGCCAGTTATGATAAGATGACAAAAAGAGCTTCTACATTCAGTCAAATTTTGTCACATCTGTACAATTCAAAAGAGCACCGAGGAAAAAACAACAACAGTGTGTATGCAGAATGACCAACCACATTCGCTAGTCCTAAACCCAACAGAGAGGACAAATCAATCATATTTTCTTTTACACCTCGCAGTACCCCTGCACATATTTGATAAGATCATATGAACTTTGCATATATTCAACTTACTGGTAAACACTAAAATACCCCCGCCTCTGCCCTGGCGAAAGGCCCTTAGAATCCAGAAACAGTCAAAGCTACTTTAAAATAAATGGTCAAAACTAATTTAAATACTAAATCATCATGGTCATTTGACTTGGGGAAATAATCCTTTGGAGTTCATGAAACACTCAATAAGTCCGGCAAAAGATTCTGCACCTGTCATTAGTGATAGAGCTTATTCAGATACCGTGCCAACTACCAAACCATAGGCCAATAGCCACCTACTAACACGTATGACCTTAAAAACAGCATAGCATCGATTTATCCTGAAATAGTACCAGCCCCCCCCCCCCCCCCCCCGCAGAGGACCTTGTCCACAACCCACGCGGCCACGCTCGTCAGAGGAACCTAACACTCCACAGCCACACAGGTCGCAGCAGTTTTAATGAATTTGTACACAGTAAATCGATCAGAACCACCTTAGTGTTGCGAACTCCTAGGATACGCTTGGAGACGATCTACCACCAAAATCACGAGATTGCAAAGAGCTAGAACCGAGGCATTCCATCGAGCACCTCGAAGACGCAGCAACAGCAAAGCAAAAGCAGCCCACCACCCCACGGTCGGTGGTGTGTGGGGGGATTCCCGCGAGAACAATGGGAGAGAGGGCGGCGCGTACCGTCCTCGTCGGGGACCTGGACGTGGAGGAAGAGGAGGTGGAAGCCGGCGGCGTTGGAGCGGACGAGCTTGGAGAGCATCCAGTCGAAGGCGGCGCGGCAGCTGATGGAGGGGTGCGGGTAGCCCTTGATCGAGGACTCGTTCACCGCGACCATCACCCGCGTCGGCTCCGACGACCCCGCCATTGCGCTCCGCTTTGCTCCCGCTGCTTTGGCTTCCTCGGCAAGAAGAAGAAGAAGAAGGGGCAGGAGTTTTGGGGGAAATTTTTGAGGGCTGGACTGGACAAAAGGCAATCTGCTCACTTTTCTTTCTTTATACACGTGTGTTGCCTTGTTTTGCTATGTACACCCAGGGGCTCGCCCAAGCAAAAAAATAATAATAATCCAAAATACTATAGGGATTACACCCTTCAAATTCATCCTAAAATATAAGGGATTTATTAAAACCCCGAGGCAGTACTTTATTCCTCATCTACCATATTTTATATTACTACCCCTATTCTAAAATATAAAAAGATAACTAATTTTTTTCAGATATTTCATAATAGCATGCTTACTCCGTTTCATAATGTAAATTTTTTTAGCATTGTTCATATTCATATAGATGTTAATGAATCTAGACATAAATCTTACATTATGAAACGGAAGGAGTAACTATTTTTTTCTAGATATTTCATAATACAATGTGTGCATGCATGTATGCAATTAACTAACACCTTCTTTTAACTAAATTATTGTTTTTAAATCTTTCATCCTCAAGCTATCTAATTCTATTGGATGGGTGTATTGTATTTATTATTGGAGTGAAGTGCACCAGCGGTCCCTAAACTTGTGCATGTGTGTCACTTAGGTCCATGAACTCTCAAATTGCATTTTTTATGTCCCTCAACTTGTCTCGGGTGTCATATAGGTCCAAACGAGCTCTAACCCGCTTCGTGAGATGACGTGGCATGCCACGCTAACGCTTATGTGTCCGTGGGATCCACATGTCACTCTCATAAAAAAATAAAATTTTAAAAGAGGGGAGATTGAGGAGAAAAGGAAGTTTTTAATTTCGAAAAATAAATGAAAAAGATAGGAGAAAAATATGTTCTTAATTTTTTTTCTATATGTGACTGACATATGGGTTGTACTGATACGTAGGCGCCACCACGGCATGCCACGTCAGCACACGGAGCGGTTTAGAGCCTGTTTGGACTTATATGACACCCGAAACAAGTTGAGGGACCTAAAAATACATTTTGAGAGTTCAGGGACCTAGGTGATACACCAACACAAGTTTATGGACCGCCCATGCACATTACTCTTATTATTGTGAATTGGTGATCCAAACGATAATACGATAATGAATGTTTCTTAATTTTGAGTTATGAGTGGTCGTGGCTTATATTTTCGAATAGAGGGATAGTTTATTCCACATCCATCACCTTTTGTACTAGTGCTTTATATTCTTCAAGCCATCACTATTTATACCGTGCTTTGTGCTTTTACTACTTTCTTAAATTTTAGTTAAAAGGCACATAATACCTTGTATTCTAGACATAGGGAGTAATAACATCTAAAGAAAATTATCAGCACCGTATATATCCAACGGGTTGGTTGTGTACTACTGAACATATATGCTTTGTTCGGACAACCTAGCGTAGCACGGCTACGTTGCAACCAGCCAGCAAGCAACAGCTTCCAGCAGCTATGCGTTTGTGTATCCGAACCGTTACACTATACAGCACAGCTTAAAATTGCAGTAAAAATCTCATGCCCGTAATCATCCTTTACTTAGAAATGATTTGAACAGTCAAACTCTTAAAACTTTGGCCATCAATAAAAAGGGTCATCTCTTTATTCCTCGTATACAACTCTTGTGACATATAGTTGTATAACTTGTATTGGGTACACTGCAACGTGCATGAATCATTTTGCGTACGTTCAGTCATCGATCTGCTAGCAGGAGTAGCAGTACGTATCAGACTTGGATGTGGAGACTCGGGAGGTGACGACGTGGCGAGAGGCGAGTCGGTCGCTGACGCGGCCAGGCGGGCCCGCGTGGACACGTCAGTCGTGATCCACAGGAAGGCTTTGCTCCCTTGGTGGAGCATCGTCTGATCGTCTCATGCTTACCCGTGGAGGGATGAACCTATTTTTGTTTGCTTGTACGAGTTGTGCCTAGTCTATGTAAGGGCCAAGGCCAAGTTCGAATTGATGATTTATTATTATTTATTTTTCCAAGAAATTAAAAGAACTAGAGAAGAGTAACAAGAGCTCTCTAACCATGCTTTCCAAGCACCTTCCTGCAAAATTTTCACACAAATCAAATACAATCCAGGATGTAAAGTTGTTGGTGTGTCACATCGGATATTATATAAACTGTTGCATAGAGTGTTCGGAAACTAATAAAAAATCAATTACAATTACAGTATCCGTCAATAAACCGCGAGACGAATTTATTAAGCATCATTAATCCGTCATTAGCATTGTTTACTTTAGCATCACATTGTCAAAATCATGAAGTAATTAGGCTTAAAAGATTTATCTCACAAAGTAGTTGCAATCTATATAATTAGTTATATTTTAGCCTGTATTTAATATTTTGATGCAGGTGTTCAAACGATCGATGTGATATGGTTTAAAATTTTGAGGTGGGATCTAAACAGGCCCTAATGGTGTCGGTCGAACTGTGTCGGTCCTGTGCAAAGCAAACAAAGAATAAATTAAACCTCGAGCAAAACCGGACCGACCCAATGAGTTTATCTTTCGGAATCGCTAAATTATTGGCGATAGTTTTCTACTCCCCCGTCTTAAAATATAAGCATTTTTTTTACTCTAACATGGTTTTTGAGATGCTACTTTGACTAATAATATCTATAAAAGTAAGATATTTTAAATAAAAAGAGTTATAGTTTGTTTAATGATAAATCTAGCAACATCAATTTTACATTTTTGATCTTTTTTATTTTGTTGTTATTAATAGTTAAAGTTACAAATATTTGACTTGGCGCTATGCTAAAAATGCTTATATTTTGGGACGGAGGAAGTAGTGTGGAACCATTTTTTTTCTTTTCACCGTTAGATTTTGTTTAGAACATTCACCACTGGATTTTGCTCCAAGATTCATCTAGCAGCACGCGAACGGGAGATTGGATATCACAATATTTCCTTTGCGTCACTGATGCACTACTGCTGCGCCAGCAACTTGCTTTGGATGGTTAGATCCTAGTTATATCATCTATGTAAATTATAATCCCTCCGTCCCAAATTATAACAACTTCTTTATCAACATTATCTTTCCAACCAATCATAACTCTTCACCATTTACTTTTCTCACCTACCTCCACTAATCATCTAATCACAATCCTCCACCACTCACTTTTACCTACTTTCTTAATAACCATATCCAACTCTAAAACTTCTTATATTCTGGAACAGAGTAAGTACTCTTTACTGGGCCCGTTCAGCTACCAGGGCTGCAGTTACGCAACAGCCGACATGCGCAGCCACAGTTACAGCTGTAGCCGTTGCAGCTGGCTTACCGAACACTCCCACTATATGTAAGTTATACTCCTTATTACTGCTGCTGAGTACTCCGTACTATACTGTATGTTGTATAGATATATTTTTATTTTTTCCCTTTCAAATTCTCATTTCTTATCGGTGACTCCGCGCTAGAGCCCAGTAGGTTAGTTCAATATTTCGCCTGCTAAGGGCCCAGCAGATTATTTCCTCCGCCTGATGTTTCTTTCTAGTTGGGCCACAAAATAGTACAGCAGGTGTGTGGATACACGGAACTAATCCATCCGTTTATAAATATTCAACTTTTAGAGCAGATTAGTGAAGCTTTTGAAATTTTCACTATCATATTTAAATTAAAATAAGTTTATAAAATTTTGATAGTACTCCCTCCGTTTAATGTTATAAGTCGTTTAACTTTTTCTCCTAATCAAACTCCTTTAAGTTTGACAAAGTTTTTAGAAAAATATACTAACATTTTCATGCAAACAAACATATTATCAAAATATATTCAATATTAATTTTAATAAAACTAATTTGTGATACAAATGGTGCTAATTTTTTCTATAAACTTGACCAAACTAAAAAGCTTCGATTAAGAGAAAAATTAAATAATTTATAATATGTAATGGAGGTAGTACTTTTTTAAGACAAATCCACACATAACATTTTTAATGCTAACAAACTATAAGAATTTGAGAATTGATTGATTTTCAAAGTTCTAAAATAATTTGTCTAATCTCTTCCTAAATTTTAAAATCTGTCATAGGTGATGGGTAATTAACACGGTTCAAGATGATATTCTATCAATCTCTACTATTATAAAAATTGAAGATGTTTTAGCTGGTACTTACGTCATCCGTGTACGAGTCGGTTTTTAAATTCGTTTTTAGAAATACATATCCGTATTTTGAGTCGGTTTTTACGTTCGTTCGCTTTTGGAAATACAAAATTCGTCCTATAAAAAATCTCAGTAAAAAAACTCACATGCTAACTTGAAACGATCCTAACTGCAACTCATGATTTTCTTAAAAAATATATATATATCCAAGCGAATTCTCATAGTAAATTTCATCTTAACTAAACTGTATATTACAATAATAAAATAAAAAAACCTTCACCTGTTGCAACGCACGGCCATCTTTTTCAAAAGTAATGAAAAAAAAGAAAATAGCGAAATAAAAATATGTGGATTAGATTATGGAGTTGGAGTAATAATACGATTACGAACAGCTATCAGTCGTGGGCCCGCTAGTGGAAAGGGACACGGCCTTTTCTTCAAGGAGGCCGACCCGACCCGACCCGAGCGCGACGCGACGGACACCCAACCCAGCATAGGTAAACCCCCCCCCCCCCCCCCCCCAACCCAAACCCTAACAACAAGGCAAGGCGGCGCCGATTGCTCCCTCCGGCTACCAAGCAGCAGCGAGCTCAGTGAACCCCTACCGCTGCCGCACCCTACCACCAATGGCGGCGCCTCCGGCCACGGCCTCCGCGCCCTCCCTGCGCCCGTCCGCGGCCAGCCCACGCGCCGCCGCCGCTCGGTCGGTCGCCGTCCCCTCAGGGCCTCGCACCGTCGGCCCGAGGCGAGACGGGGGCCGCTTCCTCGGCGTCCGTGCTGCCAAGGTGAGCGCGAGTGGATTGCTCCTGCTGCTTTAGCTTCGCCGGCGGGGCCTTGTTACCTACCTATCGTTTGGGAGGAGTGTACTGATTGGTATATCTGGCTTTTGTGCTTTCCCGTGAAGCCTTCGCCATAGTTTTAGTCCCGTTGTATTGCAAGACTGAATCCGTCATACACCATCAACAGCTTCGTCTGTCGATGGTTGTTTTATCCGCGCGAAAATTGAGTTGTTTTGTGTTGTCTTCCGTGTGCAGGCTGTCAGTGGCGTGCAGAGTGGTACCGTGGTGGATGATGGAGGTGAGTCAGGTTGCCTTTTCGCTAGCTGATTCGAATCGCTCTAGTTTTGCAGTCGCAGCGCGGAATACGTGCTCAGGGTTCTGCTACGGATTTGCGATTAGGCAATTGTGCTCCACAGTTAAGAAGATGATGAATACTGTTTCACCATTTTTGGATTCTTCGTGCAGTGCAAAGACCATGGAAGCTCAGCGATGCTCGGCTCGTTCTTGAGGATGGTTCAGTTTGGAAGGCCAAGTCTTTTGGTGCTTCAGGAACACAAGTTGGTGAAGTGGTATTTAATACATCTTTGACAGGGTAAATCAACTAACCGTTTGAGTGATGGCATTTGTTTCCTGTTGTGGTTGAGATGTGCTTATTGTTCTTCCTGATAGAGAAACAACTAACCTCATCAAATAGTTGAGACGCGCGTACTGCTTATTGACAACAGGAAACAACTAACCTCATCAAATGGGCTGCAGGTATCAAGAGATTTTGACTGATCCAAGCTATGCTGGTCAATTTGTCCTCATGACCAACCCACATATTGGAAACACTGGTGTTAATCCTGGTCCGTATCTTTTCTATTAGTCAATAATCATGATATGATGCCATTTCCACAATAGCTTGTAAGTTTTAACAAATTAGAATGCTCATGCAGATGATGAAGAATCGAACCGATGTTTCCTTGCTGGTCTGATCATAAGGAATCTAAGCATATGGTAAACCATTTTTTCCTAGTATTGGTTGACATAATTGGAACTTTAAGAGAACCACCTAATGTTGTTAAATTGGTATTCTTTCTCTGTAGTACATCCAACTGGCGATGCACAGAAACACTTGAAGAGTATCTGATGAAGAGAAACATTATGGGAATATGTAAGTATTGTCACCTGATACATTGCTCTCTATGTCCGACAAACAACAAAAGCAACAATAAACACCATCAATTTGCTTTATATGCAGATGATGTGGACACACGCGCCATAACACGGAGATTACGAGAAGATGGTAGTCTAATTGGTGTCTTAAGTACTGATCAATCTCGGACCGATGATGAGTTGTTGGAAATGGCAAAAAATTGGAAAATTGTTGGTATGCTATGCTCTCTTCAAGCAGTAATGTCCTTGAATAATTGTCTGTCTCCTTTAATAAATATAATTGCACTTTGCATGGTAGATTGTAACATGTTTCTCTTTACGCCAGGTTTAGCACATATTTCTATTTACACCAGGTGCATCGAAATAAGTTTCGCTTAACACCAGGATACATCATCAAACATATAGAAATTTCATGAAATCTAAATGAAACTTCATGAAACATGGTCTAAATTAAAAAAAAAACGTTTTGATAAGATTTGACAAGATTTCCCTTCAGTTATATGAAGCAACCTAGTGCAAAATGAAACTTATTCGATCTACTCTGGTTTAAAGTGAAAGTGTGTGCTGAACTCAGTGCAAAGTGATAATTCTACCTGGTGAACAGTGCAATTTACTCTTAAGTCTTAAAAAATAATTAATTACCTTGCAAACATGATAGTACTAGGCTTAATGAAATTAACGTGGACTATTTATTATTTAACCGCGTACTGGTTCAGGAATATTATTATGTTTTGCTGGTCAAGCAGATTGTTAACTCGATTGAAGTTTCATATGTTTATGACATGGACACATGGTTATGATGCTTGCTATCCTTCACTGATCTATTAGAGTAACTATCTGGAGTATTTTTCATGTCCACTTTATGATGAATATTGTGTCACCAGCATTGACATGTAATGATATCATTTAGAATAGTGTATTGGCAAAATTGATTGCCTCCATCCATATTTAGACACTATTCAAGTTACTGGTTATAAAACAAGATCTGGTATTTCATGTTATGCAGGTGTTGATTTGATTAGTGGTGTCACATGCGATGCTCCATATGAATGGTCAGACAAGACTGATTCAGAGTGGGAATTCAAGAAGGGTCAATCGACTGAAAGTTTTCATGTCAGTGTTGGTTTGGTCCCTTTCTCTTTTTTGAAACACTTCAGATGAATCTCATATCTAAACATTAGCTTCCTTTTATTTAGGTGGTCGCATACGATTTTGGAATCAAGCACAATATTTTGAGACGTTTGACGTCATATGGATGCAAGATAACTGTTGTTCCAGCCAATTGGCCTGCTTCTGAGGTACTTAACTTGAAGCCTGATGGTGTGTTTTTTAGCAATGGTCCTGGAGATCCAGCTGCAGTTCCATATGCTGTGAAGACAGTACAAGAAATAATAGGGAAGGTTCCTGTGTTTGGCATCTGTATGGGCCACCAATTGATTGGGCAAGCTCTTGGTGGGAAGACATTTAAAATGAAGTTTGGTCATCATGGAGGAAATCATCCTGTTTGTGACCTTCGAAGTGGACGTGTCGACATAAGTGCACAAGTTTGTTCCTGACCTGACTTCTTACTGTTTTGATACTGAATGCGATTCATGTTTTTTGACTCTCGAGGGAAATAGCCTTCCGTTTGAATTTCAGTACAATAAACTGTTTTGTCTAACTAGAGGTATAGAAACTTGTTGTAGGATTGCTGTTTTAAGTTTTTAAGTCTAGAAACCATTGATATCCATTATAGTTCTTTTCTGTTACGTATTGATTTATAGATCTATCCTATGTTATTTCCTGAAAGGCTTTCCGTATTACTGGTGTTGGGAGAGGTGCTGGACTTCTCGCTGTGACACTTCCTGATGAAAACTTGGAGCTTCTGAGAGTAATGAATTTGAACCTTTAGGCTGTTAGGTATATCCAATTTAATCAACTACTCCCTCCGTTTCACAATGTAAGTCATCCTAGCATTTCCCATATTCATATTGATGTTAATGAATCTAGTCACATATATTTATCTAGATTCATTAACATCAATATGAATGTGGGAAATGCTAGAATGACTTACATTGTGAAACGGAGGAAGTAGCAAGTCTATCCTTCTAGACTAAAATCATATACACCAAATCAGCTGAGAGTCAGGTAGTATTGTTTGTAACTCTGTATTATTAGAAGTTGTTTTTCCACCAAGAGAAATGTGTGCATCCTTGCTATTTTCCTTTTATTTAATTCATATTTCTGAGTCTTAGCTATTTTCCCCTTTGTTTTACTTGTCATACTTGCATTTACTACTGTGCAATCTGCAATTGTCTTACCGTATTTTTCTCTGCAGAACCATAATTATGCTGTTGACCCAGAGTCACTTCCAGAAGGGGTGAAAGTAACACATATCAATCTCAACGATAATAGCTGTGCCGGCCTTCAGTACCCTAAGATGAAACTTTTGTCTCTTCAGTACCATCCAGAGTCCTCACCCGGGCCGCATGATTCTGACTTGGGTACATTTCCTTGAACAATATAGTACTTCTAGAGAAAAGTGTTGTACCAACACAACTTGTGTTATCACTGTTAAGTGTTGATTTTACTAATCCTGTTTCTTGTGCTTTACAGCTTTTGGTGAATTTATAGAGATGATGAAGAACAACAGATTGTGAGGCGCAAATATAAGATACAAGGGTTTGGTTCTTGAACCGGGAGGTGAGAGGTTCTATTTCAGATTTCTGATGAGAGCCACAAGAGTCAAAATAATCTGTTGTACCTGTAGCTTTTCTTTCCTTATTATAAGCTCCGACAAGCTTGAATGCGAGGGTCAAGGACTCGAGAATAAGTTGCTTTGTGACTGAATCAGCCTATGCAAAAATATTTTACTCCTCAGTCCTCAGGCTTCCTGTATTTCCATCCTTTACATTCCTATGCCTTGTAAAAGCTGCGATGCATATGGGCTTGGAGTGCAACAGGGATGCCCTCATGCCCCCATCTTATCAATTCCACTAAAACAATCTACAGACGCCACAAATCCCTGTCGCCCAAGTAGAAACCAATTAGTGGTCTTTGGCATTTGCACTATTGAGGGTGTGTTTAGTTCACACCAAAATTAAAAGTTTGATTGAAATTGGAATAATGTGATGAAAAAATTGGAAGTTTATGTGTATAGGAAAGTCTTGATGTGATAGAAAAATTAAAAGTTTGAAGAAATAATTTGGAACTAAACTCGGCCTGAATATAAAAAAGGGGTCAGGAGATCACTATGGCAAATCATTGGAATATTTTTTTTCTCCCAGGCTAGTAAGCTAGGTTGCTGATTTGCCATAGATATGCTTAACGTTGTTGTCGACTTTTTATTTCCTGATAGAAAAACTTTCGTGCTATCCGATGGGGACAACTTCTGTGAAGATCTTTTGATGTGCGTGCATGAGAGCTTTTTTCGTTTATCCAAAATGCACCGCTAGATGCTTGCTCTGACCCAGTTGACGGTGCAGAGAGGAGGAGAAAAAGGGTTAGGATTTTCCATCGCTGATGGCCGGTGGTCCGGGCCATTGGTTGGTCCTAGGGATTTGGGGGAGAATCTGTTCTGAATAAACATGTAGGGTCCATGTGTCTATCTACCACGATTTTCGGCTATCTTTGGCTATTTGCATCTAGTCGGGTAATAGCAAAGGAATCTGCATTTTTGATGGCCTGAGATCATAGGCCCATCACATCCAACGTAAAGAAATGTCAGCGGAGTTCATGGGAATCTGCCCTTTCGGAGAATGCAAACAAATATTTTCGGAATTTTGTTTAGTGTGGGAGCGCTCAGAATTATTTGATGGAACTGAGTTTACATGCTCATTCATATTGGAATATTACGGGAGTTATTTATAAAATTTAAAATGGAGTAAAGTGAATTCATAGCGGAAAGATTTCCAAGACAGTTTTAGGAAGGGCAAACAAACATTTTCCTGGTTAAAAAAAAAGCTTCTATATACTTTTAGAGGACACACATCAGAGCGGGTGTCTTTCTATTGAGGTACAGTTCGAAAAGAGTAACAAATACAACAGACCAGACGCAAAAAATGGTAAGCTGTTATAGATTACACATTTTTGTTGAGCATTGAGCTGTCCTGGGAAAATTTTGCCCTGTCTCCACCTGCATACAGCCTACTATTGTGGAGCAAACAATTAATGAATACGATCATTCTGGAAAAAGCTCAGTTGCACATGTTCATGAATGCATATATATTCATATCCAACTCATCAATGGCATATATTCGGATTGATATGATCGCATCGCAAATAATGAATGAGTACCATAAATTACTTATTTTATGGGTTGTTAAATTTTGTATCTAAAATGTGTTTGCACTTCTAATTAGGCACGTGAATTAATGAGATTGGTATATAAATAAGGAAAAAAGTGATAGTTTTAATAAGTTTCTTCTCTTTGATGTTATACTTTTTCTGGTGATATGAGAATTTAGAAGTTTTCTGGAAGGCAAACCCTATTGAGAAATTGATAGTTCCAGATGCAAACGAGCTATATAACTACCATCCCTTAAGGGGGCTATTCGGTGATATGACCTGTTTGTGCACATGTTCTCTAAACATAGTATTACAACTAATGGGGTGTTTGGGAGAGAGGGGCTAAACTTTATATAGGGAGCTGTAGATGGTAAAATGGACTAGCAGTATATGGTACTTTCTCCGGCTCCTAGTGTCAAATATACTTGATCAGAGGGAGTAATCACCGACTGTAACAACTAAAATTGAGAGCCCAAGATATCTTTTTTCTCTTTTCCTTTTTCCAGTTTGACATTTAACTTGTTTTATAACTCTTGACAATTTGACTAAAATATTGGATGTTGTTTTGTTTTGGCTCAGATTTTTTTATAACATTCTAGAATGTATGATGTGAATGTGTTATTGTTGTAGTATAAAAATGATAAACACAATATCAATGTTAAACATGTGATTCATGAATTACTTTTAATTGAAAACAAAAGATGCATAAAGGACTGCTAAGGGGAAAAATGTGTAGATAACCATGTTACATCAGATGAGAGAAGAGTTGAGGTAGACTTTGGAACCTATTGTCTTCTCTTTGGTGGGGTGTTCTTTCTTTTTTCCCCGAACACGCAAAACCTTTGCGCATCGTCTATTCGGGCTGTTCTTTGATTGATGCTTTTTTAAGGTCTCATGTATTTAATTATCATATCTTTCAATTTAGATGTACTTCTTTTTATAGCTTTTGTGTATTAGAAGATTATCTTTATTTGTTCAACAAATGTGCACATGCCTAATTACCTTTTCCTTAAAATCCACAATGACGTAATGCATGTCTAGTGAGCAGGCGATGACTCTTATGATTTATATCCGTTCTTCGTACGCTCTTCACTTTTCTTAGCAAAAACCCAAACGTTGAGACAACATATTAATTTGACTATAATTTATGGTACATGACTCGTCATTTTTGGCCAATATATCTTACGGAGTCTACATGATAGTTTATTACCTTAATATGCATGAACATGATCTCATGTATCACAGAAAATGTTAAGTCTAATTCACCTATGTGACAAGACTATATACAATTCATACATACAAAAGCATGCAAAAGAGGCTTTCTATTACGCCCACTGTATGACATGTTAGCTACTCTTAAACCAAATTCTACTTTTAGTATATATACACAATATAAAATTGTTAGTCCGATCTATTTTTGTGACAATATTTTTACATAATTCGTACATGAAAAATACGCAAAGAGACATTTTGTTACGCCTAGATATGTCGTGTTACATGCTTTTTAACCAAACCCCGTGTCCAATATACACAGTCATATTCTACCAATGCGATAAAACTTTACACGATTCGTGCAAATACAAAATACGAGAAAAGATACCTCTATATTATACCTAACACATGTCACGGTTAAACTGGAGTACGTTTTCAGCCAAACTCCCCGAGGACTACCTTTTTAGCCAAACTCTGCGTTCAAAATACGCATAGAAATACGTGCAAAATACTACAGCTGCCACCCCCTGCATTTGGCGTACATGATCAAAGCTTGTAGGAGTAGCAGTAGTAGTCCTATATAAAACCGGGAGAGGGAGGCCGATGGTGATGGCCCCACCGTTTTAACCTTGATTCATCTCCTAGTTTCCACTGATCTCCAGCGCTTTTTGGATCGACGGCGACGCCGCCCTCTCCATCTCCAGAGAGAGCCCTCTTCTCCGTTTCTTCCTACTAGGCTACTACTACTCCTCCTCGGCTCAACCCTCCCGTCCCCTCACCCCCACGCGCGCCGCCTTCTCCCCAGAACGCGCCGCGGCGAAGCGCCGCCGAAGCAGCCCCCACTCCTCCGCGCGCGGCGGCGGCGGCGCAGTCTCCAGACGCTTCCTCCTCCGGGGATCTCGGTATGGCTGACTACTGGGTTTTTTTTTTCCTTTTTCGCGATTCCTCCCCCTGATTAATCTGCTGCGATTCCGTACAATTCTGCCGCGCCCTGTTGCATATAGATTACTCGCGCGGGGGGGTTTGGTTGGTTGGGAGGTGGTTTTGTTAATCTGTTTGAGAGTTGAGTTGCTAGTGGATGATTCGTGTGCGGTTTTAGCATTGGCGGGGGCGCCTCTGCTCTCGCTCTCTCTCTCTCGCGCGGCGGCGGAGGAAGCCTCGCTTCCTCGCGGGGCGCGGTGGAGTGTGACGGCCTCGACCACTGCTTCCGGAAATCAGTCGCAGCCTTCTCCCCTGTGTGCGCGGCGTGCTCGCGCGCACGGCCGGTGACGGCGAGGGGAGCAGGTTTGTAGGAGCACGCGGGCCGGGGCGGCGTTCATGTAAGGTTGGAATCGAACTGAATGTGTTCGGTTTTTCTCGTAGTCATCACTCCGCCGCCTCCGCGCCACGTTAGGTCGGTTCCATGGGTTTCAGTTGTGTAGTGCGATCCATGTGGTACACGGAAGAGCCAATCCCTTGTAGATGCAGGATCCATACCCTGTTTGTTGTCTGGTTTTCCTCCCATGATTGAATTTAGTGGGAACAAGTAGGATCGTTAAGAAATTCTACTACTACCTCGACAGATGGTGTTGCATTCGTACACGTTTTTACTGTGTTCTACTATGGTGGTGACTGGACTTCAGTTTAGAATGTTGTTATATTCTTGATAGTTAAGGTTAATGATTGTAAGTCACTGTGTTTTCTTGAATTCAGCCTTTGAATGGACCGAAGTGATTCCATGGCTGATTCGCCAAGGAGGCGTAATGGCCTTCTGCGGGACCAGGTCCAGTTGGTGAAAAGGAAGGACACAAATCGCTACGAAATCGTCCGCTTTCCTGATCCATTGTCATTTGAGAAAGGCTTCTTTGTTATGATCCGTGCCTGCCAGCTTCTGGTGCAGCACAATGAAGGGATGATTTTTGTTGGCGTTGCTGGACCCTCTGGGGCCGGGAAGACTGTGTTTACTGAGAAGGTGCTCAATTTCATGCCCGGTGTTGCTGTGATATCAATGGATAACTACAATGATGCAAGTCGCATAGTTGATGGCAATTTTGATGGTAACCCCTAAGTTCCAAGCACTTCGCATACTATCTTATCATCCCGTAATTTGGACAGAACTTCCTTTACATTTGAAAGATTTCCTTAATAAGCACAGAACAATACTTTGCATACATCTGAATGCATTATCTTATAGTTACTTCTTGCATCTGCATATGTATGCCCTGATAATAGTATGATTGTTGTACGTGCCTTATGATATAATCGAAGTATTAGTGAGTTTGATTGCTTGGAGCTGCATTCAATTGGGAGCGGCAGTGGTGCTAACTAACTACTTAACTGAGTTAGTGATGTCTGATCTTTGTGACATTTGAACAGATCCACGCCTAACAGACTACGACACACTGTTGGAAAATATTCATGGTCTG